CAGATTGATTGCACTGTATTTCTTTCCTCTAAATGGCACTAAAAATGCAATTTCCAATTTGACTGGTTGGTTAGTTTGTTCATTTCCTGATGTTTCCTCCTGAAAGAATGAGGTCGCAGTTATCCAAGTTGAAAATCACATTATTACTTCTAGTACATATAATTAACTCTTTGCTTTTTCTATATATTCTTTCACAGTCCAAAACACCCCTTCATAGAATAGCTTCAATGAATCTATTTACTGCAATATTTACTGATTTCTCACTTTTACTTCAAAACTAAACACTGTAGACCCATTTATCAAGTAACACCAAAGTTTGGCTTTATGTTCAATCCAAGATTATTTTCTGCCAAGAGATCGTGGTTCAGACAGATTCAAACCTACAGCTAGTGGGCACAATATGTTGATACTAATCCTGTAAGCAGTTTAGTGCTTAGCAGCATATAATTTAAAATTGTTTGGTTGGTGAGCCAAATCCTGAAATCCCTCCTGAGCTGCCATTACATTTTCTCAAGGCAAAATGTTACAATCTTCTGATTTTTCTTTGTGGCCAAATTTGACGCCTTGTATAAACAGGATTTTCATGCAATGCAGAGCTGCCCCTGTCCCTATGCAAACCATTGTTGGAGACTTTTAGTGTAAAAAACTAATTGTTTCAGCGCAGCTTGCAATCTTTCTAAGCCCAAAAGTGGTACTTAACACAAACATTATGCTACTTTGGGCCTAGCTCTACTTACAATGGTTTATTTGTTATATGGTTATGGTGTTTGGCATCTCGATCACGTTTGTTCCAGGGAATAGTTTCACATAGAGTCTGGAAATGCCCCAGAAGAGAGTAACATCCCAGGTATGGAGTGTTTGTGTGCTTGGGCAGATCTCAGCAGTCATGCTTAAAGGCTCCTGTGGAAAGGAGGAGATTTGGAACAGCCACACTCCACTGTGCCCAGCCAGCACAGCAACTCATACACTCACCTGCATGTTTAAATTCCTCTGGAAAATAAAAGCACTCTATCAGCAATTTAAGTCACAGGTAGCATTTACAATATTATTAGATGAGTGTAAAGGATAATGAACATGCTGCTTTTTACATGGTAGCTAGGAACGTACCTTTTAAGCCAATCTTTCCAGATGTTATCTAAAAGAGATGACTTACAAACCCTTGAAATCCAAGGTTTGTAATACAAATGTTGACAGCTTTTTGACTAGAGCAGAACACCAGTTCATCCAGTGTGTATGCACTGTCATTTTCAATTCTGCCATGCCATCTGTTCACTCTGTGAATTGTGAATGGTTTTTCATATTTTGGTTTTAAAATCTGCTGGATAAATTGGATTGCAAAAGGTGGAGACATAAATGGATGACACCCTCTCTTTCTCTTCCCTTTAATTACACTATCTTTCATGCCAGTGTCCAAACGCTGAGAATGGAAAGGTTATTGGAAATTGTGATGTGATCTTGCAGCAAATCATTGTTATAGCTGTCACTAAGTAGGAAATGCTATCATTAGGTTTATAAAATATATTTTATAATCACACCCAGTTTTCTGACAGTGATACCGTCTTGATAGTTTTCTTCTAGACTGAAAATTTCTGTATTGATTCCTGAGTTTTTCAAAGTAACTGAAGTTAAGTGCCTTCAGTAATTGTGGCGTTCTCCTAGTGTAAGAAAATTGCATGTCTCTGTATATGTACTTTTAAAAAAACTAGAAGGTAAGCAATAAAATCAGATTGACTCTGAAATGAAGAGCTTTGAATCTGGCAACATGAAATTTAGATATTTCTTCTAAGACTGGTTTTATGTTAACAAAATAAACACTAAATGAAAAATTCATCTATAAACATATACACATATATAAGGAAATCTGTTAAGATTTTGTACTGAACTGCTACCCTTAAACTGGCTGCTTGGATTTACTTATGTAAATTTTCATTTTCATGTCATTGGGCTCTTACATCTGAATAATTGAGAGATTCTCATAATGAGAGAGAAGCTCGATCTTGTAAGGCAGGAATGTCAATTGTTTCTGTCCTCCTGCTGCTCTTTTACAGACTCTGATGTCTGTGGTTAGAAAAACTGACAAAACTGGAATTTGGGAAACTGGAACGTGAGCACACATGTCTGGCACAGCCATTCAGGTGGACAAACTTGTGCCTTGGGCATGGATGAGGAATGCCTTGGGAAAGGCAAGATAAAAAGGTAGCTGAACACCTGATTTGTAATAGAATGTGTGAAGCCCTGTCTTAATAGTTTTTGTAGATGTAATTAGTAGTGAAACAAAAATACTCGAATTCAAATTTTTCTGAGAGGTTGGGGGTGGAATGAAGTGCAATAACTTATGCTGTGTGAGTTTCCCTGGAAAACTTTTGACTTTTACCCACATTTTTAGGTCATTAAAAAGCTGACCAGTGCTTTTTTAGTGTTCATAATGATGACATCTAGGGCAAGTTCAGTTACTATGCCTCTTTATGGCATGCATCACTCAGCTTTGTCAATTAATTAATATCCCTCCAAACTACACATGAGCTCTTTTAGTTGGGAAACTTACCAAAAGCATTAGCTGAGTCATTCTTTTAATATTGCAACACTGTGGATTTGATCTTTTTTGATTGGAAAAAACCCCATGAGCTGTAAAAACCACCAGATTTGGCTTTTCAGCAATCTAAACTCAACAGTCTAAAATAAAATATCAATAAAGAAAACAAGAATCTACTGTTCTTTTTGCTAAGGGAGTATTCTGACATTTTTTTCCGCACATTATTTTGTTCATCCTGAGGCTAGGTGGGTTTTTTTATATCTATTATTGCAGCACAGAATTTACTTTTTAGCAAAATCTGGGTTAGCAAAATGATTTTAAGCATTATCACCCGGGGATAACCAGTAGCAGAGAAGGAAGAGTTACAAAACTGGACCTCCTGCAGTAATTGTTATATGGTAGCTATATATGAAAATGCATATTTTGACATTAACATTTTTTTCTTGTACTATTTTTATTGCCTCAGCTGAGACATCAGACTAGACCCTCTGAGTTTAAAGAGAATCTAAAAATAATCCTCCCTATGCAAGGCTGATGGCATGTTTATCTTGTTGTTAAGTATCTATTTGTTCATATTACATCTCAAAACATGTTATGATGGGGTAACTGAGAGTAATGACACTAAATTAGGATAAGGAAAATTGAGGTTAAATAGCATACTGATAATCTTCCTGACAGTAAGATCACTGAAATCACTAAATAATCTCCCACGGGAATAGAATGCAGCTACACTGCTTGATGCTTTGGAAAGGGCTAATAAGCACTAGGTCTTCACCCTAGGGAACAGACTTTCCTAAGCAAGAAATTATTAAGGTGGCTGAACAGGTGGCTTTTTTCCATCATTCTATAATTTTGTGGTTTTTGTTCTGTTTACAAAGATACTATTTCTCTCAATACTATCTTTTTAAGACTATATTTTTAATAGTATTTTTTAATAAATGACAAAAATTTTTCACATACTGAAAAAAATGTTTTAATGATAGTGGGTGCTTTTGAAGAGTAGAATCTTATTTAAAGCAGAAATGTTACTTTTCTCAAGGAGGTAGCACACAATGTTTGGTTAGTTATCCAAACTACCTTCTTAACATTCAGCATGAAATGTGCTTTTACTCAAGAAGAACCTGAATAGAGAACTCCAAATGTCTACACTACAAATTTTTATTTATGGTTTTGACAGTAATAAGAAAGTGCTATAACTCTTCCTGGCTGAAAGGAGGTTTTAGGAATTTGGGGTTTTTTATGGTACCTACTAGTAAGCTGAACATCTTAGATAGCACAGCAATTACTGCAGCGCTCCATGTATTTCCTTTCTTACTAGAAAATACATTTTAATACATTTTATTTTTCTGAATAGTTTCTGGTTGGCTGGGGTTTTTCCTATTATAGACAGAATGAAACTTGGCATGGAGATCTTGCCGGGATTTTTTGGGGTGGGGTTTTGTTTTTTTGTTTGTTTGAAGGTGAGTTGCTTGGCTGGAGCAAAGGACACAGTAGATATTTCTGATTTGTGTTTATTTTCTGATTTGTGTTTGTTTGTTTTATTTTTTGTTTGGGGAGGGTTGTTTGTTTTCTTTTTTTCTATCGAGTTTAAAGCCTTCTGCATGATTTCTTGAAAAAAGTACCATGTAACAATTTAATTCCAAAATTAAATGTCTATTCCCAGGAGCTGCATTTTACACTGCCACAGACTGCTATGAAGTGTGAAAAGTCCCCCCAGTGCTGACTAAGATCAACATAACTCCTACAGGTATCCAGTGTTGTCCTCTGTTGGATGCTACTCTTCAATCAGTAACAAGGGTCTGATGAGGTTGAGCAGTAAGATGACAAAGCCCTTGATGTTGGTTTTTAGAAGGGTGTGATGAAATATGACAAATATCAACAGCGAACGACAGTGTCCGCCCATGTTCCTAAGATCCTGATAGTATGGAAAGACTGGACAATAAAGAGACTCAGGATCATTGTTCTGTATTTGCCCTGTTCTGTGAGCAGATGAAAAAAGCAAACCTAAAATGTTTCTCTCAAGACGGAAGGGTCATTGGCCTGGCAGGAGATCAGGCAAGATTCTTTAAGGTATTACAAAAATTAACTTTTCATCATAAAGTATTTTCTTTTTGTCTGAGAAGGAAATCCTAACTCCTCCAGAAACACCCTCAGAACTCTGTCAAGCCATTCCTGAGAGGAGACCCTTGATACCTTTCAACCTAAGAATAAAGTGCAGGATGGAGAAGCCATGAGAGAAAACCCAAAGGCAAATATCACACATTTACAGCTAGAAGTGAAGCCCTCAATTTTACCTTCTTGGTTAAGTTGCAGAAAAACTCTGTGGGTTTGCTGGAGTTAAGAAGCAATTATCTATTTAGAGATAATAATAGAGATAATAATTATAACCATGCTGTGTGAGATCAAGGCACCAGGACTGAGTTTCTAACAGAACACATAAGAAAAAAAACCCCCACAATTGTACACATTTTGTCTGTATTTTTTTATTTGTCTATTTTAATTCCAAGAACTGAGATGGATATGTTTTCTTTTGCAGCATAGTGAACATGACTTTATTATTAGAAGAAGGCCATAAGTCTTTTATTAACCTGATAATGCAGGGTCTCAGCACTGTTCTGAGCTTACCTACATGTGAGCTATTTCTAATTTGTTTCCACAGTGTGTTTCCCTAATCTCTACACGCACCAGATCTGTATGAGGTCTGAAAACTCTGGCTTATCACAGCACAACAAACAAGAGCACTTTCTGTTAATAATGATTGTAAAATGCTGCTGCACAATTTTCAAACTTTACCTGGGAACCAGTAAAGTGGAAGCAGACCTTGCTAAACATAAAAGCAGGTCTAAGAGTGAGAAGAAATTACTCTTGCAAACCAGCACGTTGTTCCTTACACCAATGAACTGGGAATGTCACTGTTAGCCTTTTCCCTGCTGCTATGCTTCAGAAAAACTGTTGCTGTCAGCCTGAAGATAGGGATTTTTTCAGAATTATCAAAATGAAAAAGACAATGGGTAAACATTAGTAAGTTTTCTTGTATAATAGTTTTAGATGCATTATTAGTAATGCAACTGTTTATTAATTCGCTCTATCAGTCTCACTATTATTTTAACTGAAAACTAACTTTTTGTTGCATTTTTGATGACATTGTTAAGTTTTAATTAGGCTATCATTAAGTTCTTGGCTTCACATGTACAGCATATTTCCTCTTATTATAGTAATACCCTGAGTGCATATTTACAGATTAGGTAATACTAAATAATTTTGAAGCATTTGCCCAGTTTTCCTTCAAGCCCCATATTTAGCAGCTGCAACACCCTGACAGAAGAAGTGCCACAGTTCTTCTATCAGCAAAATCAGATCCTGTGGCTTTTAAACTGGCTAATGGAGACATTTTCAGGCTCACAATTAATTCTTGTGCTGGAAGAGAACATAAACAATGATCTGTTCACTGTGCTACTAGTTATTTTGTAGACCTCACTTAGAAAATATCTTTTCCATGCTGACAATTCCTACTTGAACTGCTTATTCCCCATACACAGTCTCTTCCACATATTTGATCAACTTTCTCTTTGAAGCTTAATAAGATCAAACATATCTTCCTTGAGATGAATGTACCAGAAAATCACTTCACACTATGCATGAAAATTAGCCATGGCACTCTGCAGTGTCATGATGTAGGGACTTCAAGAGTTTCCTGTCTCAAATACTCACATAATGATAAGGTTCTCCATTTACTTTTGTATTCCCTACATATCAGTTTCATGGCGTCAACCTAATTCTGAGCAGCAGTAAATAAAAGAGAGCATCTCCTAGGAACCATCCAACATAAAACCCAAGTCATACCTGAGTGATAGTATCATCTCCAAGGTATTCTGTGAGTACATGATTTATCTGTAGAATGAGTTTTTGTTTGTCATTGGCAAATGCATTCTCAATGCTGAGTTCCTTCTGACATTTTGATTAGCCAGGGAGATCCTTCTTCAGCTATCTAGAATGGCCTTTTTCCTTAAAACAAGAAATTAATGTCACCATCAAAATGTTTTTACTGTCTTATATAGTCTTTTCTGAGATAGTTTATGGATACAGCATAAGTCCCAACAAAGATGCCTGTACAATTCCAGTGTTCCCAATGTTGTGAAAACATTTCCTTTACCAGTTGAGCCATGATTGCTTCATTTCCTTAAAAGCCTTTGGTCTTGCAATATCAAAAGCCTTCCAGGAATTCAAGAAGACTGCAGAAACCAAATCACCCCTGTTCAACTGCTCAATAAATACCACTACTTTCATAAAAGAGGACTTAGTTTTGTAAGTCACTTCAAAACTTTCATACTGATTATTTTTAAGTCAGTATCTACTAGTTCTTTTCTTTCCTTAGAGTTTCTTCTAATTTCCACTTAGAACAATGGGACTAGAGGGCTGCAGTTCCAGGAGAAATCCATAAATACTTTAAACTAGAAAATCATATTTCCAACATTTAGCCAGAAGCATCAAGGCACCTTAAAAGAGAAATTATGTGTTTTATTGCTTCAGCTATCCACCTCTCAGGTCCCGCAGACCTCTTGGATTAATGACATTTGGCCTAAGCAATTTTTTAGTGTAGCTTTGTTTAAAATTTTCTACAGCTGTTTCAGTTTCAGACAGATCCTCTGCTAGTGTGGGTATCTTCTGAAGTGAACAGTGCTCAAAAGAATTGATTAACATTGCTTTTATGCACTGATAAAAGATTCTCTGACAGGTTTTCTACTCTAGGTATGTTTGAAAACAGATTTATTATTCATTTTTACTCATTTTGCTATTTAATTCTCAGACTGCCTCATTACTTTTACTGTCAATATTCAGAAATTTATGATTGTCTCTATCACCTGTATTTAAATAGATTATTTTTTTTCTAGATAATATCTTCTTGCTTCTAATATCTTTACTCATTTTTTTTCATGCTGGCTGCAGTTCACCTCCTCTTTAGCCTTTTTAATAGTGGTGTGCCTAGGGAGTAGTATTATTTATAGCCAGATATTTAAATAATGAATATTCCTCAAGAAACTCTATCAGGCTGTCATTCAGTAATACTCATGCCCAAGTTAAAACATTGTGAGTGGCCTCACTTACATCCTTAGAAGTGTTTATATTCACATTATATTCATGTTTAACCATTATTTTTGAACTGCAACAAGAATGAAGATTGTTTAAAAGTTATTAACAAGAAGTAGTAATCAGATCTTTTGGGGTTTTTTATAATATGGTAAAAAAGATGTCATTATTGTAACTTCCTCATGTTGTCTGTAGGTTTATTCTAGATAGTTTTGCCCATAAGTAAATATATGTTCATTATATTGGATCTTTGTCATTATGAAATGCAAAGGAAGTTGAATTTCATAAGATTGCTTATTAATAGAAAATGTATCAAAACTCATTTCAAGCAAAAGATAACTTCTCAACAGCTGGATCTGTGGATTATTTCTATGATGGAAAAGCACCAAATAATACCGGAATTGTCTTTGCAATTTTACCTTTAATAATTTTGAATAAATTATAAAAATTTATATAAAATATTAACTGAAATTAAAATGAAGAGTGGATATTATATACCTGGCTTATCATTCTCTGCTTGTAGAGGAGTAGCAGCAATTTCAGTTAAAGTGTTAAATGACAGATATCTTTGAAACAGCAAATCCAGTAAACTATCCACAGGTCATTCTTAGAAAAGCTTTTTCATTTCTGTTCTATAATTATAATAAAAAATTAGGTGTATACTTCCTCTGATGCTTCTGTATGAAGGATAACAGAAGAGGTGGAAATATACCCACAACTGTATATAAACCTCATAACACTTTTCTGAGAATTCATTTTATAATCCCCTAACTCTGTGGAGATTGATTGGCTTCTGCAGATATAAATGAAATTTTACAGCTTAATTTGCTGCACTCCCAGCATGATATGCCACACAGTTTCTTACTGTTAGGCTACACAGCTACAAATTAATTCAGGTTAAAGAAAACTTTGCATTGCTCTTTACTAATTATAATTTAAAAATGCCAGTTTATGGGAGCCTCTGTTGCCAACAATCACATATAGATTCATTTCTTAGTGCATTGCAGACGGTTTTTTGGTAAAACAGTCCATTAAAAAAGCATGTAGAAATCCCCCAGTGCTCTTTTGTAACTGAATAAGTCTTGGTGTCATCTTTAAACAAGTCCCTATATGTGGATAAATGTAAAGGAAAATAACTTCAGGGAAAAATAATGTTGCACTTAGGTAAAATTTGTTCATCATAAACAGATGATCTAGTAGGTTAGATTTTGAAAACTGATCTGTGATATAGTCTTTCGAAATTATTGATGCTTCTGAATTTATAACTGGGCTGGTTTTTGTGGTTTTGGAGGCTTTTTAAACTCTCAAATAGTTCTGTTGTCCTACTTAGCAGTGAAGATTACAATTAACCTAAATTAACTAAGTCAGTGTAGGCACAAATATGTAATTGGGTGAACTAAAATAGGTTTAAAATAATTTATTGAGAAAACAACAAACTGTAATTTTATAGCAATATCCTCAACATCTTGGATTGTACATGTTAATTATCCACAAACTTTATTTCTGATAAGGCTAGCTTATCTATCCAAAGCCACTGCCTTGTTTCTTAAAAGATGTTTATCAAAGTTTTGAATAATTGAAAATGTCTGCCTGACCTGTAAAATACAACACTGAAAAGCAGCCTAGGGACTTCCTGTTTAAAATCCTGCTGGATTATGTAGGTTTGACCACCTGAAGTAAAGTATTTAAGTAGTGCCAATATAATATATATTTTGATTACTATTTGTTTCATCTCTTTTTTTTGTTGTTGTTGTTGTTGTTTGTGTTTGGGTTTTTTTTCTGTATAGATTCACATGAATGTCTCTATTATTTCAGCTCTTAAACTGTCAGGCTCTACAGTAGATGTGCTACCTCTGCCTGTATTTTTTGGAAAATCAGTTTTTAAAGATTGCTTTCTGCAGTAATTTGCATAAACTCCTGTATTCAAAACAAACTACTATGAGAAATTTTCTCTTGAGGTTTGAAAAATTATTTTCCAAAAAGAACAGAAGAATAGATCACTGAATCCCATTTTTTGTGTTTGTGCATGGATGTACATGGATGTGTGTATGGGCATGTGCCCTGTACTCAGTACCGGTGAGGCCACACCTCAAATCCTGCGTCCAGTTTTGGGACACTCACTACAAGAAAGGCATTGAAGGGCTGGAGCGAGTCCAGAGAAGGGCAAGAAAGCTGGGGAAGGGTCTGGAGAATCCTGTGAGGAGCAGCTGAGACAGCTGGGGATAAAAAGCCTGGGGAAAAGGAGGTTGAGAGGAGACTTTATCACTCTTTACAACTCCCTGAATATGGGGTGTAGCCAGCAGGGGTTGGTCTCTTCTTCCAGGCAGTCATTGACAGGACAAGAGGAACTGGCCCCCAGCTGTGTCAGGTGGGATTCAGGTTAGACATCAGGAAGATTTTTTTCACTGAAAAGGTGGTTAAACATCGGAAGAGGCTGTCCAGGGAGGTGATGGAGTCTCCATTCCTGGAAGTGTTCAAGAAAAAACTGGATGTGGAACTCAGTGCCATGGTTTAGATGACATGGTGGTGTTTGTTAAAGGTTGGACCTAATTAACCTGGAGGTCTTTTCCAACCTAAAAGATTCTTGTGATAGTACATACATTTTTGGCATTTTATTAAAATTTCTTCTGTCTTTAGCGCAACTGTTGTCTTTTTATATATTACTTTTTCTATTCTATTTTCCAAGTTGGACTAGAAAAAAAAGGTGTTTTAGTATTTTTTAATATGTAACTAACATGCAAAAATTGTGCTATCAACCATTATTTTTTCATATATTTCTTCTTGTTCACATAAAGAAATGTTATTAAATCAATAATACCACACAGAAATAATAATAATCATCTGAAATATTTTAAATTATTAAGGAAATCTTTTACAGCTATGAAATGTCTTTGCTCTAGGACTGATTGTCACTCACATCTAGTAACTGGAATTATTCACTCTTGGTCTTCCTGGGGATGTGTTCTTGCTAAAATGCTGATATTGGCCATAGACTTTGGGGATATAAAAGACATACCACAGTCATCTAATCATGTCCTTAGGATGTAAAAAAGTTTTCTTCCTCTGATCAACACAAAGATGGTGGGTTTTTGTAGTCCATTTTAAGTGCTGTTGTCCCATAAAGTAATGACTCCATATAGACTTTGAGTCCCCTAAGGAGCTGAGCCGTCTTTAGACCATCACTAGTTATTTACCTTTGTTCAGCTTCTTAAAGCACTTCATCTGTTCTGAGGAATTGCAAAAGGACAAATGAGAGAAGAAAGTAGTTTTAAAGAAACATCTAAATGTACCTCACTACATATTTTCTCTTGAAATGGGCCAGTTGGTCTCTGATGAGCATTAGATTGAACAATCAGTAGTCAAAAGGGTTCACCAAAAGTGATTTTCTTTCTTGTAATACCAAGAGTTTCTTCAGCGAGAGAACACCTAGGCTTGACCTTTTGTTTCATATGCTATAATTATTTGGAGCTTTGCTATAATAACAGCATTTTTCCCCTTTCAAATGTGATCTCAGGTAGTAATATCTCTGCAAATTTTTGGCTCTCTGTCAAGTCATTTGACAGCTAAGCTCCTAATGTATTCAGGCAAGAAAATAGGAAGTACACACCTTCTGCATTTTAATATGAGAATAACATTAATTATTCAAGCTAGATCAGCACAAATTAAATTTTAATGCCAACAAGTCATTATCATGTTATCTTAACCAAAGAGAATATTGAGTCTTTACAGTACTGTTCATTTCAGTTTACTCTTTATTTCAGTTCTTTTTTCCCCATCTGAGTGAGCAGGTAAAATTGATCTCACCATTTTCAGAAATCAGGTATTTCTCAATCTCAAAAATATTTGAAAGAAATTTAAAAATTGAAATATTTTAAATTTCCATTTTTGCACATATTACTATTTGAGTGCTTACAGGTCAGAGCAGCCGGCTGTAGCTGGTGCTGCCCTGAGCAAAGGGTTGGACCAGGTGATCTCCATGGCTGCCACAATCTCTCTGTGGGTCTGTGGTATAGGTAAATTCTAAAAAATCTGCTGTATTGCTAAGATACAGATGCATAGATAAAATGTGTGGATATTTGTGTATGTATGTGTGGATATATATGTTTGTGTGTATTTATATAAATTAAATTCCAACTACTAAAGGTAAGAATTCTATGAATATCTAAGTTTCAGCTGTAAATCTGAATCCTATTCGATAGATTATGAACTGCAGTACTGAACAATTAATTCTGTTTAAAAAATCCTTGAACTAGAAAATGAAAATAAAATAAATTTTTCAATAGATTTTTTACACAAATCTTTAAATTTAGCTACAGTGAATGCAAGTGAGTCACCTACCACACAAGAGAATTAAAGAATAGAATAAAATTTACTAGAGTCAAGACATTCTTTTAAATTACTAAGTTACCAACCTTGGAATAAGTTTTTCTTCTCAGACTTCAGCTCCTTCCAGCAGCTATGCACACTTCAGAATAGAGATGCAGAGTGCCAGTACTCTTCCAGAACTGACCACAGGTAGATCATGGTCATTCCCCACACTCTTGGAAGAATCCTGCTCTGCACACCTTGATATCTGCACTTTTGTACACAGGATTTTATCATAAATCCTCAATGCTCCTCAGGTGTTACAAGTGGGCAGGCCATCTTTAAGGAAATCACTGGTAAAGGTTGTACACTGTACACTGCAAGTGATTCCAGACCCACTGGCAAGGCAGGGAGGTTGTTTCCCATGATGGGATGGGGCTGAAGAGACAGAAGATTGAATAAATTTTCTCCAATAGAGTTTAGAGTCCCACATTTTAGAAGCACAAACCAGTCCCAGGGTTTCCTATCTCATCTTCACCTGTCACAAACCTGGATGAGTTTTGAATAATGTTCCTGCTCACTGGGAGAGAGTAGAGAGAAACAAAATCTACAGAGAAGAAATTTGTCCTGTCCTGAACAGTCTGTGTTGGTTGCGTGCAAACAGAGCTAGGTTACTGTGAAATCTTCACTAAGAGTTAAAGAATATATACACTTAAAAGAAGTTTCCTAGGGTCTATTATTGTAGTCACTACTAAACTCACTCTATAACTTAAGACCTGTTAAGGCTGTGAACATTTCTTTACAAGTGGTTGTTGTTTCTATGCTTAATGTTTTAGAGGTTCTGGTCTCTGGTATTTTCTTTCTGTTTTTCCCTTATTTATGGATATTGATAGAGGGAAATTTGAATGTAATTAATAGAGCTTTACTAAATTAATAGAGATTCACCACTTTTAGACAGGGTTTAGGGTTTATTTATTTTTCAAAACACTTCTATTTTTCAGCTTTAATATCCAGTATCTCTATCTCTATAAATTTTTATGCTCTCTTTAAACAATGAATATGTCATAAAGACACTGTGAGGGA